TGTACCGACTCGACCACGCCGAGCGATCTATCCTTCAGCCACGCTGTCCCATATGAAAGTGAATATGCACTCTTGTCAATCTGATGAACCTTAAAGTCAGACGGTTGTTTGTTTTGTATTGACTCCCTCCCCTATTTTGCCACCCCCTCAACCCCCCCCCCCCCCCTCTCACCACCCACCCCACTTCCCCCGACTAGCCTACTGATGAAAGATAACAATATAATCCCGCGTCAATCGAATTTTCTCGAATGTTTCACTCCTCAGCTTTGACCAACCAGCCAACCCTGGACACAAATAATGTCGTCTGCCCCCCAGCTCGGGCCCGTGGGGTCACTGACTCCACAGGAAAACCATTTCTTTACCGTCCATGACCGTTTATTTCTCCTAGAATAGGTCCCGCAGAATAGTGCGAACCAATTTGTTCGTGTCAAAGTGCAAGTCGTTGTCTCATACAGCCGACATGTTACTGCTAGATTTATAATTAGCAGGAAAAGAAAACTCGATTGAAACACTCGACGAAAAATATCTTATGTATGAAGTGTTTTACTTACTATATATATATATATATATATATATATATATATATATATATATATATATATATGTATGTATATATATATATATATATGTATATAAATATAAAATATGTAATATATATATATAAGCAATACATATATATATATATATATATAAATATATAGGGATATATATATATATATATATATATATATATATATATATATATATATATATATATATATATATATATATCCCTATATATTTATATATATATATATATATATATATATATATATATATATATATATATATATATATATATATATATATATATATATATATATCCCTATATATTTATATATTAATAAGTTTGTTTTCTTAACTCAAAATAAAGCCATGGGTTGTCAGTGTTGTCTAAGATTCTTAACTCTTGTATTCAAATTATCTTAAAATGACATGTTCTCAAATGAGAACATTATTACGATTGAATTGGACGTCACTCAAAGCGAGGCTTATATATCCATTTATTTTAACTAACGTATTTCGTTGCTATTTATAGTAATAAATATGGCCACAAACAACGTGCAAGCGAACACTTCAAATTTTTAGCCTCCACTGACTTCAGTAACACTAAACTGCATATGTTTCCATATATTCATATTGTTTCAAGACTCAAATGTATTTTCTCCACTTCCCCATTAAGCTCCACTAATCCCTAGAATAAATGCCCTGATGGTAATACTAGTAACTGTACCACTGGGCATCACTCCAACGCTTACCTCGCAATGTTGACATCTTCCTTTCTCTGAACTTCACGATCCATTCCCTATATACCAGCTTTAATATCCCTACACAAACCCAGTAAATTTACACATCCATTTATGTTTAAACCATTCCCTGTCATCATTAGCGAGTAAAGTTTTCCGTGAAAGCTTTGATTTATGATTTTAAACTAGACACATAAACAACAGTTCCATACCACCAATCATACTGTCCGGCTAATGAACTAGTAATTAACTAATTACATTGCCGGGGGTGAGTCTAACCCAGCGCAGCAAATTTCTAATGAGGTATCACGTGATCTATCATCATCTACGTTATTCTATTTTTAAATTTCTGTTCACAAACAAAGCAAATTTACCCTCAAAGAGTTAACATGTTAGTTGTGTAGCCCCAGGGTTAAACAATAAACATTTTAAAATGTAATACCTGCCCAACCACATTGTCTTGTTATTTCACTGTCCTGCATGTAATGACAATCATGCAGACTTTCTATGTAGCCGAGTTTGTGAAAGCTATACATAGTTATGTTCCGTCATGAGAATACGATATATATTCTCTCTCCGGGGATCGACTCTTCTTATATTATGCCTGGTATAGTGTGGAATCATAACACAAGTCCAATTAAAGATAACAAGAATATTCTTTATTTACACATCAATCTACCTATTCTAACTACAACTAACTCTCGACTTCTCCTAACACTATCTAACTGCAACTAGCACTTCTCCCTACACGCTCCCATGACCAACCCTAACACTATCTACATTGTATCTCTCTACATCTTTCCCCTAGCGCTACCTATCTCTAACTCAACATTTCAACTCTCTACATCTTTCCCCTAGCGCTACCTATCTCTAACTCAACATTTCAACTCTCTACATCTTTCCCCTAGCGCTACCAATCTCTAACTGCTGACCCACGCTTCAGTGGTCATCTGACCGTCTCACGTGATCGGTCATCTCCTGCAATTCTATTGGTCTACCTGACTACGCTATGCTCTGTTTCTGCTTTCTTCTGCTTGACCTCTATGTCGTATAACTTGATTCATCACAGTTTCTATCACAGTTTTCCAACATGTTTCAAATCCGTCATCTTAATGTATCAAGTTGTCACAGGTAACAAAGACTCCGTGACTGAACTGTTAAGTACAGGAATGTGTTGAGATCGAATCCCGAACAGAAGTTTATTTATGTTCCTGAGTCTACACAGCTCTAGCGGGTACCTGACTCACGTAAAAGAAAATTCTGCGCCTGGTAAAAAAGTGATTAATCTCTTCACAAATAAAAACTCACATAAATAAACCGGGAGTGATCTCCCCTAAACTTTCTCGAATATTCTTATATAAAATAACAGGGGATGGGAACTCGGGCTATAGACATGATTTTTAATCCATTTTAAATACTTAAAGTTTTAAAAATAGAATAAAATCTCGTAGACAAATTAATTGCACACCAAGTGAACGCCAAATAAAAAAGCGCATAATGGTGCGCAATATTATTAGTACTTTTAAAATTTACATTAGTTTTTTGAGAAATCGGAAGTAGCGTAAAGTACTACTTCCAGTCAACGGAAATGACTCAAAATTTAATAGAAGGTAGAGAATTAGATCTTTTACTTACATATGAAATTTCATTTATCTATCTGATATAGTACTCAAGTTATAGGCTTTTGAAAAATTCAAAGTAGGAAAAGTACCACTTCCGGTTATCGGAAATCGCTCAAAAGTTGATACGGATCTACGATTTTGATTAAATACTTATATATGACATTTCATCAACCTAGCTGTAACGGTACTTAAGTTATCGTGTTTACACACGGACAGACAGACACACAGACACACAGACACACAGACAGACACACAGACATACGGACAAGATTGCAAAATTATGTTTTTCCGTATCAGTGAGGTGTGAAACGTCGAGATTTGTAAAAATCTCGATTTTTTTTTTTTTGCACGATTACAAGACTTTCTCTATACTTCGTATATACGAGAAAGTAAAAAGCTCAACTTTATGTTTTTTAATAGATCGTCACATCCGAAGACTTATCTGACAACTAAAAGAAATTGTTATTTGTATTTTCCCTAGTGGTTGCCTGTATAAGAAAAACACAAAAAGACCAACATCAAATTTTATTTGAAAATCCAAACATTTGACATGTAATCATACCCAGGACAATGTATTGTAACATGTAACAAGCAGTCATCAACATTACGGAGGATGGAGTAGAACTTGGGAATTCACAAAATAGATTTAAACAACATGGTATTCCGTCCATATTGGCAAGGATTGAAGTATACAGAGCTAAAAAATAAATACAGTATGGCATTTCAAATTTTTAGACCCTTCATTTAATTTAGTATTAAGGGCACATATTGAGCGAATGCGTGGGGACAACGGCATGCTCCGTTGTAGCGTCTTTATATATATATATATATATATATATATATATATATATATATATATATATATATATATATATATATATATATATATATATATATATATATATATATGTATATATACATATTACAGTATGAAATAGGTAATTCAACATAATGACAAAACATGATTCAATGTGTATTTTGTTTAGGCTTTTACTAAGTTTTTAAACATGGTCTCAGCATTGGTAAGCTTAAGTTCCATCCCCATATAAATTCTCGCGACAGTAGATCAAAAAAATTATGGAGTGAAGCATAGATATGTTTTATCATGCACAAAATACTAACAAAAAATGAAATACAACGTGAAAAACACAATAAAAATAAATCTCGAAAGAAAACAATGATGTACATGTTCGTAGAAATATATGTATTGTCTTAAATTCTGACTCAAAAACCCTAAAAGTTAACTTTAATTTAACACAGCCACCAATTCTAACCAATGCCCTTAATTAACATTAGTAGACGGTCATGGTTAGGGTCAAGTTTTTGTGTTAGGTTTAGATTCCTATTGTATTTTTCTATACTTTTAACACAGTTCCTCATGAAACCTCTCTCCGTTATATAAACCTCACACTTTGCCTTGAGAGTGGGCCTACTTGTTGATCGCTAGAATGTCAAGATATCATAGAGAACACTATGCCAAGTATGGGATAAAATGAATATGCGAGATACGTCGTAATTAACTTAAACACTCCAGACTTTCTATTGAATTCTTCATTTCACATTATCCCTCTCTCTCACAAACACACATACACACACACACCTATATATATATATATATATATATATATATATATATATATATATATATATATATATATATATATATATATATACAAATATATTTACATACATATATATATACATACATATGTATATTTAAATACATATGTATGTATATATATGTATATACCCATAACTGCATGTGAGTGACATTCAACTAGAATTTTTAAAATAGCTTTAGTCACATGACATTGTAACGTCATGATATTTTTTATTTGACTTCCGCCACTTTGAACAATCTCGTAGCTTCCCGTTTGATGGCTCGCGAACTTCGGCCATCAATCACATCGTCCTGTATCGACCCCAAGGCGGAAGTAGATAATCGTGTTGCGAGTTACGTACGGGAACTGTGCCTAGTTCATTGGAATGGTGCTCAGGTTTGTAGAAGATGCTATTTTTTTGGGTCACGACTGACGGAACTTGTGCGTGGGCGTGGTATTTACATCACCGGAAGTGGTCAACTTTTTGAGCGTTAGTCATCATGGAGGTTATGCGGCACCCTCTCCGTCCGGGCCCAGACTTTCCGCCCGTAGCGAACACTCCCGACCGGCGACTCCCCCATATCCTCATCCACCCGGATCTGCTCCGTAACCGGACTTAACCGGATGGTGCCGGTTCTGATGGTAGACGCCCGGGACTCGGAAGCGTAATAACAGCTCATGTTGTTGCCCCTGGTCGCTCTGTACAACCGGTTCTCCGCGCCTCTCCGCGAAGATTTTAAATAACAAATACAGATGGCTTCGCGGAAACCTCGACGGAAATGACGCGACATGAAGCCGTAAACGAGAGGGTTAAGGCTGGAGTTGATGTAGGAGAGGACGAACATGGTCATCCGGAGGGGTTTGAGCACGCCGTAGTGCAGGTCCGGTAAGACGCCGAGAGCCACGAGGAGATTGTTGATCAGGATGGGACCCCAGCAGAAGGCGAAGAGCACGACGACGACAATCAACATCCGGATGACCTGGGGAAGAAGGGGAAAAAAACATAATTTATTCGGTTATTTTTTTTTTAAGATTTTTTTTTCTTTTATAAATTAAGATTTTGTAGTCATTTTCAATAAAAGAAAAAATAATGCAATATATATATATATATATATTTATATATATATATATATATATATATATATATATATATATATATATATATATATATATATATATATATATATAAAGATTTATTTCGCAAACATTACCCACATAAATACAACATGAAAAACAAAAACAAATTATAATTTATTCAGTTTTTTTTTTCATTTTTTTTTTTCAAGATTTTGGAATCATTTTTTAATTTAAAAAAATAATGCAAAAAAAATTGAAAATGTAATAAATTGGAATAAAAATTAATATAAAAAGTAAATCATAAATGAAGTATATGAAATCAACTTAATTATTAAGATTTATCGCGCTGACATCACCCATATAAATACAACATGAATAAATTTGAATAAGTAAACCAAACAATAAAAATGAAACGAGACGTTGCGTCATCATTGCCCACGTACAGCATTTGCTTATTGACGTCACATCCGCTCCCAGACCAATATGCCATAAATAACGATCACGTGATTCGCTGCTGTAATAAAATCACGTGACGGCCCTCGTCCAATGAATACACATTAATCGAACGTGTCCTTTAGCAGCATGGGCGAGTCGGGAGTTCATCATCTGCCCTTGTCAAGGGAGCGGCTCTTAATAAACAAACTGACATTGAACTTGGGAGTGTGGGGGAGGGGGGGAGCATTGTGGACTGGAGTAGAACGGCTTTTATGGAGCATGCACGCTGATCTAATTCGGGAAGGGGTGGGGTCGCCATGTGAAGGAGGGAGGGGGGGGGGGGTAATTGTCGCATGCGATGAAGCTTGCATCACGCATTATTTTAACTTAGAGTTAAGTATGACATCTTGAAAAGATCAGTGAACAATGAAAAGGAATATCATAGACCAACAAAAACCAACCCACAACCTAGTATAATAGACGGGTGTGGTTACCTAACTACACCGGCAAGGTCTTCACCAGTATAATGATGATAATAATACACGTTTTCCTTTGGCTAGAATTTTATTTTTTTAATCAAACATATTTAAAATACTTATGTACCAAGTTTTTGAATAATCTAAAAATAAAATAAAAACAGTGGGTAAAATATAAAAGCGTTGGTTACTGAAATCGTTTGAGATTTAACGAGCACCCAAAGGTTTTTACATTAGCATGAGAGATTTGTCTGGAAAGTCAGATAAACTTTTCGTTCAACTTAGAACAATGTCAACGTTGAACTATTTTAATCTACAAGCCCACCCACAGAAATTATGACAGAAAAATATAAAAAAAAATAAAGTGGTTTTAAATAGTTAATCCGATTGGCTGCTAGCCTTAAGGTCTCGATTTCGGATCTCGGTTCGAAATAGTGACTGTATGACGTCGTTGAATTCACTTAACACTAAAGATGGCAAAGTAAAGGCGGCTGGGCATAGTACTGACAACACCATGCCTTCAAATGCCGAGGTCAAGAAACAAATGAACTCTAGTTCATCTGCCCAAAGGATCGCTAGATCTAAGTCTAAAGAGGAAGTAGTTAATTATTACCCTGCTTTAAATCTCCCTCACGAGAAGGTAAGTACCAACATTTAGACAAATAAATGTTTATACACTGATGTTGTTATGATATGGAGAAACCTGGACACAGTAAATAAATTAACGTATCTAAGTTTTATGTCTGTTGCATGAAAGCATTGCACCTTAACCCTAAGCCGACCCGGCACAAATAGCAAACGAGAACCGGAAGTTGTTCCATCCAGCGAACTAAACTTGAGATAAAAGTTAGCATGACTGATAACATTACCCGACATGCTCTCTACCGGAACACTGAGCTCGGGAGGAAAAAATGTTGTAGAAAAACTGTTACAGCTGAGATGCACTGATCGAAATTGAACTTGTGATTAATTCGATTAAACCCAGGTAACTCTAACTTAATCCGGTCAAAGTTTTAAAATTTAGCGAAACGCTAGAAAACGAAGAAAAAAAATGTTTTTTACAATGTTACCGAATGTAATAAATGTTTTTCTTTAAACTTTATAGTATGTTATCAAAACTCATTAAACTATACGTGAAATATTTTTGTTTTTTGCTATTGAAATTCGTGTACATCATCTTCTTTGTATCGGTTTTTTATCAAACCTGAGCTGAACAAAGTGTAGAGATTTGAGTATTTAATTGCGGCTAGATTATATTTTAATCTTTAGTATTAAAATATATTCACAAAATTGAAGAGAGACAATGAAACGAGGCGTGGATTTGTCGATATTAACAAACAAATAACTTGTTATAAACGTTCAAAATATTAAATTGTTTCAAATTTACTTTACTATAGCAACAATATTTTGTAAAAAAAATTGTAATATCTTAAGTTTGAGATTACTGTTTTAAGGAAATGCTTTAAAAAACGAAACGGTATAACTCGCAAAACGGCCACATGGATACGAGTCTCGCCATTATTTTAGAATTCGAGTAAACATTTAATAAAAATTGAATGTAAATTCGTGCAGAGTATTTTTACTAATTAGTGAGATAAAAAATGAAAACTGTAATCAATATTAGGGGCATACAAAACATTTTTTTTAAAAGGTAATCGATATTTTCCTGAAACTCCATGACTTTTTTCAATGGTTTTTGTTTCTTCAGTTATTTTTTTTTTTTTTTTTTTTTGTGGCTTTTTATTTTTTAATTTTTTTTTTTTTTAAATGGCGACTTTTATTTTCCCGTAGCCTTGTACCTGTAACACGTTTTCATTAAAAATTATTCTAATTAGTTTATATAAGCCATCGTGTCAATTTCCTTAGCAATCAAATTAATTTAATTATAAATATATCAAAACAGGTTAAGTAAGCTTATTATGTATTGATGGGTTTTAATAAGTATTGAAATATTGTTTAAATTTGTTGTCTCAATGATTCCCTAGAGAGAGTCATGTTTATTTACTTGATATGTTGTTCCTATTTTGCTATCTGTAATGCAAATAAAGATACACAATACGAACAAGATTTAATCTGTTGGTTTTAAATTAATCATTTTAAATTACTCCTTTTAAATTGCTAATGACGTAATGATTTTAATATGATTACCACTAAACAAGGGACATAACAGACACAGTTCCAATTCTTTCAGATTTTTTTCCCACGTTTTCTTTAACTTGCTTTCTCTGTTTGTCTTTCCAATCAAATCTTGCGATCGAAATTTCTGGCACTTCCCAGTTAGCTAGCGCGCTGAAATTTTCAGGGAAGCTTTCTTTTGGATGACCATTGAATATTCAATTGTTATTATTACTAAATTGATCAATGGAAACATTTTATTGAGCATTTTAGACCGCTATGTAATCTATATATATAATTCTCCTCTGCTAGCGTTAGAAAAAAAACCAGCGACGCGTACCTCGCGCGCAGTGAAGCGAACGATCACATGTCGCCACAGGCTTAGGGGCAGAGAATTTAGCTTGAACCGAGTTTAAACTTACAGAAGGTAGGCCAGTTTGGGGGAGACGATATGGTCGAGTGGTTGGGCACACGATTGCTATCCCACTCGACACGGGTTCAAATCTATGTGTTCTAGTCAGTAACGTATTCAAACAACGTGTTTTTTACGAGTTGTCTTTTTACGAGTTGTCTTCGTTTACCCAAAAAAAGTGAAAAGATAAAATCGATAGCAAGATTTTAATGCAAACAAACAGACAAAGACTAAAAAGTAGAAAATAATAATCATTAAAAAAGTTTTAAAAAACCCACGTTTTCTGATTGAACTAAAAAGTAGAAAATAAATGCTATAGGCCCTACATCACAATAATGCAAGCGATCACTCTACTATAAGCGAGCAAAAACGTGGGGCGCCGTGATTTTCTTACAGTTTCTAATACTGTTGACTCTCTACAAGCTCCCTAATAAAAGTCAATAGTATTATCTAATCAATAGTAATATAACTTTTACTTCGGCGACCCACGTTTTTGCTCGCTTATAGTAGAGTGATCGCTTGCATTATTGTGATGTAGGGCCTATAGCATTTATTTTCTACTTTTTAGTTCAATCAGAAAACGTGGGTTTTTTAAAACTTTTTTAATGATTATTATTTTTGCTGAATATACTGCCAAGCACTTCAAATTAAGACGCAAAGATTTACTATCTATTATATTAGTTATCTTATGCGAAAGATGATTAAAGTTAAAAAATTGAAAAATTAAAATTAAAACATTACAATATTTTTTTTGAGTTCTTTAAATCATAAAAAATAATATTTCACCGTTACGAGCAAATCTTTTTAAAAAATGATTTAGAAAAAATGCATTGTAAACAATTACTTCATTGGCCCATAACTGCCCTAGTTTCTCCCCCACCTCCCCCCACCCTTTGCCTTGAGCTGTATGCCGACGAAAAAAAAATGTTATAAAAGTGACGTCATGAGCAACAATGCCATTTCTTCCAAGAGAATGTTTACATTAGTGCTTGCAGAAGTTTGTTGCATTAAACCCCAAACTTTTTTTATTGCGGATTGATACAATTTTTATTTTGTATTTCCAAACGATGCTCCTTTCATCTTTGTATTATCAACTTTGTTTAAACAGTACGACGTGCAAACAGCCGTAAAAGCCCTCAAAATGACAAAAACTAAATTGAATCTATCGTAAAACTCTAAAGATGAATGAACGTAGTTCTCAAGACGAGCTCTCGCAGATGATGTAGTAAAATGTAAGCGTGAGTGGTTCTCACGTTGTTTCACAAACTGTACCCTACAGATAAGATTTTTCTAATCACCTATCGTTATAACCTATTTCTAATACACTAAGTTTTAATACACGCGTTCATTAAACTGATGGTTGGAATATAAAAAAAAGCAATTCAATTTTTGTGGTTAGCTTCAACTTTCTGGGGTACGTTGCTTTTGAAAATGAGAACCATTAATTTTTATGAAAAATGTCGAA